CCGACCCTCTGTGATTTCCTTCAGTAGCATCAGTGAGCGGCTGGTTTATCCTCCTCTCGCTGCCTCTGCAGAAACACACAGCATTAATACATGAGCACCACAATCAGCACCACAGACGAGAACAGTAGCTGCTCAGTATCAAAAGTCCTCACTGAGGCCTACGCATGTGCCTGCCTCTGATGACAGCTGTTTGAGAGGGTAAAAATGGACATGTGTCATCATTATGCTGATTCTTTGAGTGTCCAGGTTCCTGTGGCTTCAAAACAAGCCCAAATCATGAGCCCTCCACCACCATGCTGACAATTGTGTTTGGTTTTCTCCAAATGTGGCGCTCTGATTAGGAACAAACATCTCCATTTTGTGTTTGTCTGTCCAGGCAACTGCTGCTGTGAATCTGACTGCACTGGTGTTATATAATTGTTATTCCAGTTATCCAAATCTAAAATCTGTGGACAAATATCACTGAAGCTTTAAAAAAAAAATCAGGGCAATATATCTTTATATGCAGCACTGATGTTAGGTTTCATGAAACCTACTAGTTCAGTTCTAAAAGGCTCTAAAACCAGTCGGTTTTCTTTCAGGCAATCTCAGCAGGAACTGTACAGAGAGTGGCTGGTCCACCGTCTATCCCGACTACATCATCACCTGCACGAGCACCTTAGAGACCCCAGAGACAACCAAAAGGGCAAGTTTGACGTCTGTGGTGTGTTTACGTTTGTGCGCCTGTGAGCGCAGTTATGAGTTACCGGTATATGAAGCACCACTGTGATTGGAGTTGTGTTGCTTGTGAACAACTCTTTTAATCCTTTTCTGGCCTGAACCTTTTTAGCTGGCGAATTCATTCAGTTTTCTCATCCTCTCTCAGTCCAATCTCAGGTAATGTTTAGCAATTAGAGCCTTTACATGATAACATAACATAATATATAAGAAGGACTGAATTTTTTGTCTTTACAGTGTAGAAACTGGTGTGTGTTTGGAGCCTGATCAAAGTTGTGTGTTTGGTTTTCATATCTACTTTGTAGCGGCTGAAACTCTCTGTTGTCTAATGAAGCTGAAGGCCTTGGACCCGTCGCTGTTAATGCAACATTGTCAGTATTGGTTTATCAGGGTTCCTGGATTCTCAGATGAGGTAGAAGATTAGTCAGAGCGGTTGCAAGGTGGTTAATTTGAAACTGCTTGGATGGTTAAAAACATGCTAACTATAAAGAAAACATGAAAATATTAAATCATTCATGGATCAAATATCATTGATACACCACAGCTGTTGATTTACGATGTATTTACCTCCATGTATAGCTTTTATGTATCAACTACACGTGCATACACTTAATCATTTGAGGGAATAAAACTATTTTTTTTATTCTTTTTCATCCTTTTTTAAATTTTCCCCTCAAAATGATATCAAATTATAACCAAAAAGGTTAATGTGTGTGTTCATCAGTGTTTTTATAGGACATAATTAGGAAACAAAGGAAGTATAAGGATAAAAAACAAATAAAAATCAGTTGTTGAAGCATCTTTTCACAGAAAAAAAATGTTTACCTGTTCCTAATAAATGTAGCTTCTGGCTCTTTACTGTAGCAGTTCATGTGTTCATCTGACAAGCAAAAGGTCTTTGGTTTGGTTCTGGGAGGAGACCCAAATGCTTCTGGGGTTGCATCAGGAAGGTCACTGTAAAAATCTGCCAAATCAAACATGCAAAGCTCCCTGCTGGGCTGACCTCTTTCAAATAAGGGAGCAGCTGAATGTAGCTTTAATCATAAGAGTTTAAAGTTTAGTTGGAATCCTTTGAAGTGAATTTTCACAGTGCAAGTGAAACTGTTGTGTACAGGTTTTAGCACTGTTTTCCGTTTGGGTTCTGATCACACAAAATGTATGTGCCACGTCCCACGCAGCACATGCTCGGCCTGTGGATGATGTTGGGAGAGTTCGTGGGCTGATTTGACCCACTTTAAACTGCTTGCATTGCAAGAGGAAGCAAACCAACCACAGAACAGTTGCAGATAAATCATTTTTACCGGATTTGATTGGGAAAAAGCTGAACTCTAGTTTCAGTGTGCTGTTAGTTGGTTTGTTGGAGACGGGGAAACTCTTTGTCCAGAGGCCAGTGCTGCTAAGCAGGCTTTGAGGTTTAGCGAGCCACCCACAAAGGTGATGCAGCTGTTACCTGGGTAAATCTCCATGGTAACTAACCCATGGTTTATGTTAGAAATCAGCACGTACAAATCACTTTTCGTCTAAATGATGTCCCCATTTCCAACATTATGAAGAATAGACTAAAAAGCAATGATAAAGGAGCCCCCTGTGAGCTAAAATGTGTAGCGTAAATTATTTATAACTCACCTTCAGAATGATAAATCACTATTTTGTAGCCTGACAGCACTGTGGACGAGTTTGGGGAGACATCGTCTTAAGTAGAAGTTGTTGTAACACCATTTCTGATGCTGCAGGCTTTCAGCCGGAGTTTTGTGTGTAGCATGAATAAGTAAAGACCTACATACCCTCTGTAGCTCAAATCAAAGCTATTTGTCTGCAAAATTACTAATCATTCATATTTCTTTTTAGTATTATACAACACAGTTTAACTGTTGATTCTAAGCAGCCAGCTTCCACTTGCCTGACACTGGCCTCTAGCTCTTTCTCTGTAACCAGTTGTCAACAAGAACAGTGGAAAATAAGACAAATTACCACAACACAATCAGCATATTTTGCAGTATGAGGATAATTAAATCTGTGGTTTTATGTGGGCTGTTTCAGAGGAAATACAGCAAAAAGTAGCCAGACTTGCATGCAAAGATGTGTGCAAAAAGAGGTTCTGGAGCTTCCAGTGAGACACTGAAAATCATTGAATCAGAACAGACTTTATTTAAGCAAAACAGAAGCTGTGCAGGAATCAGCAGCTTTATTTAATTTGAACTGAAATAAAAAAAAAAAACAGATCAAACGTCTCCACTCTGTGGTCTGATCTCAGCTCAGTTTTCTCAGATGCTCCAGCACAGCGGTGAAGAGAAGGGCTGATTTCATATCAGCATCTCTGTATGTGTGTTTGTTTATCTGCCCACAGATAAACGCACAGAGAGGATGGAAAGTTCACTGGGTGACACATCTGATCACTGGTCTCTGCTGCTCTTCGTGTCTCCCCTCAGATAACTCAGACCACCGTGAAGTCGCGGCCTGACTGTGCTGGTGTGCTTTTCTGTGATTAGGCGGAGCAGATGAGTGAGAATCTGTTGCAGCGTTTTGCTCAGTTTATCCAACTGACAAACAGAAATGACACAGCTGTACTCGCTTATCTATGCAGATGCTTTGAGCTTTATTTGTGCATCTCATTGTTGTCCAGTTCAGTGCTCTGGGGTTCAGAGGAATTTAATTTGTGGTGCTAAGAAATTTAAACAAAAGATGCAAAGGTCACAAAGGTAACAGTTTTTTTGGCTGCTTTGCAGATGACTCCATAAATCTTTCACCACAAACGCATCATGTTTGGAGGTCAACATAATTACATAATAATAACATATCCAAACACAGAGAGGGTTGTTAGCCTCGATTCGATTTAAGCCTTGATTCTGTAGCTCTTCTTCTGCAATATGTAATATAATGAGTGTTACATTCTTTCTACTATAACTGCAAAAATGCTCAAATGTTGGGTCATAATTTTGTTACAGACTGAAGCATCAGTTGGACTGAGTGCTGTGAAATTTGTTTGAGATGTTCATTTCCCTACACAGTATCTTTAGTAATCCTCTAATCTTCCCCTTTGGTGGTGAAGCAGATCAAAAATGTTTCGAAGGCGCTCTGTGATCTTTAATTTTGATTAACTCCCCAAAATCTTCTACAGATACTTCCCATCAGATTCTTTTAGGATAAAATGTTGAGGCATGTAGAAAACAGCAGACCGTGACGATTACCAGCAAACGTTTCTGTGTTGAACCAAAAAAAGCAAAGAAGAAAGAAAAATCAAGGGTGACTCAGACTCTCAACCTCCTGCTTTGATGCTCGTGTCTTACATGCTTTGCTTACCATGCAACAAAGCAGTTTACATGCACATAAATGACTTAACATGCTGCTTACATTGTGCTAGTCTATGTATGTGGAGGACTACGTTGCAACCAAATAAGCAGAAAGTTGAACAAAAAGTCAGATGCATTTAATTCCTTTGTTACAAACTGATCTGCACATCTCTTCCATGTTTGCCACTTGGTAAGAGAAACTCTGTCTGGACCTTCACTCTCTGTGGAAGCAATAGAAACCGCCGCCTGTCTGCGTCTGTTTTTGCTGTCATACCACAATCTGACTTGAGTGGAGGGATAATAAAGAAAAGGTTTGTACAACAGGAAGGTGGAGCACCAGAGTTCACAGCCAGAGCTGTGTGCCTGAGATGACCATACAAAGTATACTCAACTCTCTATGACTTCATGCTGATGCAGAGATCTATGCAAAGCTGGCTGGTCATTTATAAAAGTTACAGAGATGCAGGATGAAGCCTTCTGCCTGAGGTCTTAAACTTCCTCATCATTTCCACTTAAGCTCCTCTTTAACATCAAAAAAGACTTTTTTCCTCTTTTCATAGGTATATGAGAACTAATGCAAGTGACCAGAGAACATGAGAAATCCACTGGATTCAGTCTTCTGCATGGGTCTGTTCTGTATCTGTTGTGGCTAGACACCGGCTTAAATTCCGAGCTCCTCCAACAGAGTTGCGGGGTTCACTTCCCGGTCTTGGCACACTGTGCTCTCTAATCCGGCCTCATCTGTTCCCATATCTGCTTCATCACAAGATGAAGGTAAGGCTTCTCGAAATTCTCCCACCCCTTCAGCTGACTCAGAGGAGGATTAGGAACCTGAGTGGCACAGGTGAGTATTTGAGCTGAATGCTGCAGGTGCTCGAGAAAAAAAGGCTTTTGCTGTTCTCAGAGCGGTATGCCTGCTCTGCTGTTTTTTTAATGGGCGTTTGAGTGTGTATGGGGATGCGTGGGTGTTTTCTTGTTGCTCAGAGGAGTCCAGCGTGACGCCATGGAGCTTATTTTCTGACCTCATAGTTATTGCTTGTAATCACGGCTGCATTCCTGGACCCTTTCTTTTATAATGAGCTTTAAACAAGCGAGTAACAACCAGGTTTAAGAGAATATCCGGGAACCATTATTGGGTCCACACTGTCCCTGAAATAATGCCACACACTCCTCTTGTTTTTTCACTACTTGCTTTTAAAAGCAAGTAGATTTATTGTATGAATTAGGATGAAGTAAAAATATGTGATAAGAGCAGTATTTTATTGCATCTTGATGAATTGCAGAGTAAATGTGGAACAAATTGAAGAGGATGTCTCCTTTTTGAGAGATGCATGCTGACCATACTAAAATCAATGAGCTGCTCTACTCGCCAAAGTTTTGGGTCACTTTGGAGAGAGTGGAGAGAGTGGACAGCTTCAAATACCTCGGAGTTCACATCACGCAGGACCTGTCATGGTCCCTGTGCAGGAATCAGCAGCTTTATTTAATTTGAAC